CCCGCCCTTCCCGCAGACTGCCCTTCAGAAACTGCGCGTCCTCGCAACAGCTTTCCCGCCACCGGACGCAGACGCACTCTCCCCTTCTCAGCTCGGGCGCCTGATGGTGGTGCTCAATCCCGCACTCGTGTACGCGCCGATGCAGGCGTGGGCGATTCTTAGCCGCCAGACGGAAGAGACGGGGCTCGGGGCGCTGGGGAGCCCTGTCTCGTCTGACGACGAGGACGGACAGGGCGCAGGCCTGCTCGGCTACAGTCTCGCAAGCATCGCACGCGTAACGCCCACCAGCGCTACCGCCGTCTTCACGCACCCATCCGGATCCCTCCCGGACGTGTCACTCGCCGTCCCCGCTGGCCCTGCACCGCTGCGACCGTTTCCTTTCTCCTCCTCCTCCTCCTCTCTTTCAGCGCAGATATCGGTGTACTCTTCGCCGCCATTCACCCCCTCGCCGCGCTTCGTCGGTCTGCTCACGGCGTTGGTGCAGGCACACGCTCTGGGCTGGGACGTGTCGCTTGTGCCGCCTGCTGCGCCCGCGACTGCCAGCAGCAGCACCAGCACGCTCGTGCGGGTGTTCGGGGAGATTCTCGGGTACACTGGGGGCAACGCGGAAGCGGTGCACATGTACAAAGAACTCGGCGGGCGGGAGCTGTTCATGCGCCGCCGCATTCTAGATGGCGGGGCGACTGCATGGGAGCCTAGGTATGCACGCGCCTTCGCAGTTATGCTATTTGAGGCGAGCGAGTACTGACTTGTTTCAATTTGTGGTGTAGCGCGATCGTCGAGGCGGCGTGGGCGGGGAAGCTCGTGCACCTATCGGGGCTGGACGTTATCGGGCCGACGGCGGGTGCGCTCGCGCGGTTGGTGCAGGATCGCGAGACGGAGCTGTGGGCCGGGAAGCGTATCGTCGGCGAGGCTACTCCCACCGAGGTCTGTCCCCTTTCTCTTCTGTTTTCCCTTCACCTCTCCTCACCCACACCGACACTGATGCCCCTCGTTCTCGTTTCGCAGATCGACTCCGGCGCGAGCACCCTCTCCCTCGCGCACCCCTCCTTCCGCCTCATCGCGACCGCGTCCAAATCCCTCCCGCTCAAGGACTGGCTCTCCGCCGAGCACGCGAACATGTTCTTCCCAGTGCCCGCGCAGCCTATGGGGCGCGTGGAGGAAGAAGCAATACTTCTTGCCACCGGGTGCGCCCCGCGCGCCGTGAAGCGGATGCTTGCGTTCGCTGAGCGCTATCGGGCGAGCATGTCCGAGGACAGCGTGCAGAAGAACCGCAAGCTCGGGACGCGGTCGCTCGTGCGCGTTGCGCGCCGGATGGCCGTTGTCGATGGTGGGAATGGGGACGAGGGCGATTTACGCGCGGTGCTAAGCCGCACGCTCCTGCTCGAGTTCCTTCCAGCCGTGGAGCGCATGAACGTGGAGCAGCTTTTCGACGAGGCGGGCATCTTGCGCGTCACACCCGCGGTGTGTGCCATTGCTCAAATCCTTTTGTTCCTTGCATCTTATTTGATTCTCATTGTAGCACAACCCCAGCCCTTTCGTGCAGGACGACGCGCTCGTCTTCCCGGGCCCGAGCACGAGCGGCGGCCCGTCGTACGCAACGCGCATCCCGCTCTTCAACGTCGCGGAAGACACGCTTGGCGTCAAGTCCCATGTCCCTTACATGGACCACTTCTACGATAACAGCCTCCAGACGGAGTTGATGCGTGATCTAGCGGTGGATTCGGAGTTGCTGGGCGAGCATGTCGTTCTTCTAGGGAATCAGGTCTGTGTGTTCCTGACTGTCTTCACTCATGTAGACTGATGGCGACACGTAGGGAGTAGGAAAGAATAAGATCGTGGATCGGTAAGTCTAGGCCGCGTTCGTTCGTTGGTTAGGGTTAACCCAAACATTGCCTAGTCTTTGCCAGGTACATGTCTCCTCCCTCACCACAGGTCGCAATCTAATGCAATCTACTAGCTCCTCGGCCGCCCGCGCGAATATATTCAGTTACATCGCGATACCACCGTCAACCAGCTCATGTTTACCACTTCGCTCGAGAACGGGGTGATCAAGTACACCGACTCGCCGCTCCTGCGCGCGATTGCGTTCGGGCGGGTGATTATCATCGACGAAGCGGACAAGGCACCCGAGCACGTCGTCGCGATCTTCCGCAGCCTCGCGGGGCAGAGCGAGCTCAGCCTTTCCGACGGGCGACGCGTTCGTGCCACGAAGGAGCGCCCGTCCGACATCGCCGTGCACCCGAACTTCCGGCTTGTGCTGCTCGCGAATCGTCCTGGATACCGTGCGCTCTCCCCTTGCCCGTTGGTGCTGTGCTGATTTTGCTTGGCTGGGCAGCGTTCCTGGGGAACCACTTCCTGCAGGTTCTCGGGGAGACCTTTAGTGCACACTCGGTGACGAACCCGGACCAGGAGTCGGAGCGCACACTGCTCGCTCAGTTGGCACCGGAGATCAGCGAGGACCTCATCCTGCGCCTTGTCGGCGCCTTCCACGACCTGCGCAAGGGGTACGACGCTGGGACGCTCAACTACCCGTATTCCCTCCGAGGTATGTCGCGCTCTCTCATTGGGATCTGTGGTACTGACGCGCACGTAGAGCTGATCAATCTGGTGAAGCACCTGCAGGCGTACCCCGGTGACTCCCTCGGTGATGCACTGCGGAACGTCTTCGACTTTGATGTATACAAGCCCGAGACCATCGAGCAACTGGCGGCCATCCTCGCGCATCATGGGTGCGTGTATCGATGTCGGCTGCCATCTTCCTGTTTGCTTAGTCGCCCAAAGACTGGCGAGTCATGCTCCACACCTGGGCCTCGCGGCGGCACGGGAGGCGGCAAAGAAGAAGATCCAGGACGCGAAATTCGAGCCCAAAAACACGGAGCTCGGAGAGCCGAAAGAAGGAGACCATGACGACAAGGAGCATTCGGGGGGGAACAAGTGGGCCGGTGGGGTGTGTTTCCGTGCCTTTGAGACCAAGTAGAAGTGCGCTCATTTGGATTCCAGACTGGAGGCCGAGACACCGCGGGTTTGGGCGGGCGCGGGGGTTACAAGCGCCTGTACAAGGGCGGAAATATAAAGCAGGTCGGTGGTGTCGCGTCTGTTGCTTCTCCGGCTCATGAAGTGCGCAGGTTTCAGACGAGCTGAAGCAGCAGGTCCCCGACCATGTGCGGGAGAAGGCACGCGAGATGGCGCGGCAAGAGCTCCAACGCCGGTTAGAGGAATTGGACATGAGCGTGTCCCAGGCGGCAGGCTACGGGGAGCTATTGAACGCGACAGAGGCGCATATGATATCCCTATATGATTTGCTGGAACGTGCGTTGCAGATCTTCTTCTCAGACATGGTCTCATCCTCCACCGCTTGTAGACCTGGCGGCCAAGGAGGAGGAGCGGGTGTGGGTGAAGCGGCAAACGGACGGAGAGCTGGACGACAGTCGGCTTACGGAGGGGCTTACGGGCGAAGCGACTGTTTACAAGCGACGAGGGATGGAGAAACCTGAGCTGGGGCGGCCGCAGATCAAGTTTGTCACGTTGCTTTCTATTCAGGCTACATGCTCATACCGCACTAGGCCGAAACGTATTCGATTCGTATTTGATCTCAGCGCATCTATGTAGGTTCTTCCCCTTTGTCTTCCGGTTTAAGCCTTCATGTCGCCTCTCGACTAGGTACCGTTTCCAGTATGACGGTCGTCTGCAGAGAAGTATGGAAACAGGTGCGTTTCATGTCTTGCGGTCCTCGCGCATCTGGTGCTGATTTACACCTAGCTGTCATGCTGATGGAGACATTCGACCGTCTGTCACGCAAGGAGAAGTACGTGTGGGACGTGAGTATCCATTTTCTTTGTCGTTTTCTCCACCATAACTCATGCGAATCAGATGTATGCCCATGTAAGTAATTGTACCCTGTCTCTTACAACGGAGCTCATTCACGGCAGTCTGGGGATGGGGCCGACATCTCACTGGTCGATGCGCTCGAGCCGCCGGCTGATATGAAGGATCGGTGTGTTTCCTCTCCCTTCTTCCGCGATGATTCTAATCGTCTTCTAGGTGGAAAGTTGTCGAGAAGATGTCGATGATTCCACAATACGCCTTCGCGGGCGATTATACAGGTAAGATGTTTTTCTTTTCCGCTAACTTCCTCTCACATCCATTTCAGTTGAAGCTATCGAGAAGGGCGTGAAAGATGTCGGGGCCTTCGATGCAGGCATGTTACCGTCCCTTGCTTTCCCAGGCAGACACTCATTCCGTCTCAGATGATTGGTTTGTTATCGCGATTACAGTAAGAAAAAATGCCCAGTCCTAATACGAGTCGTCTCATTTCTACTCAACAGGACGCGAACTTTGGGAGGTATCTCATCAAGCCGGAGGATATCAGCCGTGCGATGAGGCGCGACCCGAAAGTGCACACGGCGCTCATCTGTATCGGCGAGGGCGCCGAAGCGACCTGGTAGGCACCTCGGGATCCATCATCCTCCCTTTTCTGACGGTTGCAAACCAGGATTCCGAAGAGTATTCCGGGTCGGGGATATCGCGTTGCAAATACCGCTGATATTCCGACGGTACTGCGCAGCATTCTGTCCACGATGGTGGATCGGTGAGACCAGGGTCTAGGATAGAGAATGTACTTGAACCGTTAGAATATAATTGCATTATCCGAATCCTTAATCGAACGTTGTTTGGTGGTCAAAGCGTGTCCCAGTCTCATCAACGCAGTTGCGGGGAGATGTGGATTGAAGGTCAGTGTACCTGGAGCTTCTGCGTTACGCTGCTGTCTTCTTCCACCAGACCTCGAGATCTTTCATTGGGATTCGACGGTCAGTATATGTATTTGATCAGAGCCTTTATTTACCACAGTGTCCGAACATCCAGATTTGCAAGAACGGACTGCATTTTGCGCGACTTGGATTGAAAATCGGGAAATGCGTAGGAGAACCGTCTGGTACGATTTGTCGTGGATATGGAAGTTGGCGGGACTAGTGTACGTCAGTCAGACACCCTCTATCGGTTCGTTGGTGTAGTTGGTTATCACATCTGTCTCACATTTTCGGCTGTAATTGTCAAAATGTACACAGGAGGTCCTGAGTTCGATCCTCAGTCGAACCAAGTATCTTTTTAAACTACTCTTTTGCACAATTGCTCCGGTTTATGCGATTATTCCTGTATTTTTCCACTTCCCGAGCTGTGGCGTAATTTGACGGATATTAGGTGCTTGAGTCATTCTCATCTGCTTTCGAAACTTCTCGAAACCCTTGTGGGTATGCCGATAAAATGAAGAGAACGCGTACTTACGGCGGGTTGAAATCTAAGGCGTTCGATTGGCTGCGGGTCACCTGACGGCTATAAATTGAACGACAACGATTGGCTCGATCATCTCCTTGGCTGAGTTTGAAAATGCAATGTAATCCAAAAATGGCAATCTCCAAAGGAAAATCCTCTTTCTTCCCGCCGCCATGTCATCCTCCTCGAATGCCACTCCTGCGCCTTCTGTACCCCTCTCACGGCCAGAGCAATCCGATATCTCCACAGAACCGCCTGTTTGGGCGATAGATACAGTGGCACCAACGTCCCAGCCCATTTCGACCGCGCGGTGTTCCCGTCACGTTCGACCAGACGGTGTTTGCTGCAAAGAACTGAAAGGCGACGACCGTACGCTCATTGACCCGGATATCGTTCGCGATGTGTAAGCTCCGCGCAAAGAAAAGCATACGTTTACTGACACTCCACGGCAGCGTCATTGGACTGTCGGACGGTCTCACGGTGCCTTTCGCGTTGACCGCTGGCCTTTCTTCGCTCGGCGAATCTCGCCTCGTCGTTCTCGGCGGTGTCGCGGAACTCATCGCAGGCGCCATCTCTATGGGCATCGGTGGCTTCCTGGCGTCCCAGGCCGAGCGCGATCACTACCGCTTCCTCCGCGATACCACCGCCGCGCGTGTCGTGCGGAGCTGTGACGGCGAGATGGAGCGCGAAGTCGCTGAGGTCCTTGCCCCCATCGGTGTCGATGAGCGCACCTGCCGCGCCGTCGCCCGCTGCCTCCGCGAAGCCGAAATTCCCAGCTCGTCCGCCAACACCGTCACCACGCACGACCTCGAGTCGAATGACTCCCTCCGGTGGAGCAAGGAGGTCGGGCTCACCCCTTTCCTGCTCAAGTTCGGCGCGGGGCTCGAGGAGGTGCCAACGAGCCGCCTCTACATCTCAGCGTTCACCATCGGCGCAGGCTACCTTATCGGCGGCATCATCCCCCTCATCCCCTACTTCTTCATCCCCCGCGCACACATCGCCCTTGTGTACAGCGCGGTTATTACGGGGATCGTGCTACTGGTGTTTGGCGCAGTCAAGGCGCGCGTGACGGGTGCTGGTGTAGGTGCGGGTGGATACGTGTGGGGTGCTGTGAGCACGCTGCTCGTTGGTGGCGTCGCGGCGGCTGCGGCATTCGGGATTGTGAAGGCGCTCGAGGGAGGAGGGAGCGATTAGCGACACAATGGTCGAGATTGCATGGTTCAAGTATGTTATGCCCAGTATATAATATGTATCATGCGTGTATCGCTATAGTGACTAGGTTCTTGCACAAAATACTTTTTGGCATGCGGATCCCTATCGTGTCTATTAGTTGCGGAAAAACACGTCTCCGCACCAAGAAAACGGCGAGTTCTCACACAGATTCAATTTGCCCCGATTCACAATCTAGACCAAAAGGTCCGGCCAAGTACCTATCTGTGTACCGACAATATACCGACTCAGTCGATATATGGCGTCCACTTCCCGTTGCTCATGGGTTACCGTAAGCCCAAGCTACTGACCCAAATATCCAACACAGATACAATTTGCCGACAAAACATTCAACCTCACCACGCGTTCGTTCGGGTGCTCATTGGACTTGCAAGTTATGGTGGTGCGTTATCGACGCATCCTGCGGCCCATGAGTTGAGCTAAATGGCAAATAAGAAAGGAAACGTACCTCCATAACCTCCTGCGCGCTCTCCTCCTTGAACCGCTGCACGGTTGCGGATAGCTCGGCGGCTTGTTGGCTCAGGCGGTCGCCTGAGCTCGCCAGCGCAGACATGCGTTTCAGCGCTCTGATACCGTGCCCGGCTTTCTTCCCTGTGATAAAATGTCTTTAAATTGGGAGCAGAGTGGACCCGAAGTAAAAACACACATGTCAACTTTGCGTTAAACGCCTTCTTCACATGCGGCAGCAGATCGGTTGCACCGCTGGGATTGAACGGGTCGGGCACGAAGTGCGGTGTCGCCGAGGCAAGCCACTGGAATATCCCCAATCAGCATGCATGACCAGGATGCATTGAAGGCAGTCGATGCGCACCCGATGCTCCAGCGCCTCCGCGGCCGTCGGCCGGCGCGCGGGCTCCACAGTCAGGCACGCCTGCACAAACCCGCGCGCCGTGCCCGACACATTCGCCCAATACTCCGCGGGCTCAAACTTGTAGTTGCCCGCCACGATCGCCGCGGTCTCCGCCTCGGGCGAGTCCTGGTCGAACGGCGTGTAGCCCGCGAGGAGGAAATACGTGATGACGCCCATCGCCCACACGTCCACGGGCTTGCCGTGCCCCGCTGCACGCGCCCGTCATCTTCAGTGCCATGCCAAGGTGACGACAGAAGGGGAGGGAGGGTGCGAGGGGGGAGCACGCACTGTTTTTAAAGATCTCGGGCGCCATGTAGCCGGGCGTGCCGCAGACCCCGGTGAGCAGGCTCAGCTTCTCCTCCTCGAGGACGCGGCTGAGCCCAAAGTCCGCGATCATGATGTCCGCGTCGGCGGCTTCGGTGCGGAAGAGGAGGTTCTCGGGCTTGAGGTCGCGGTGGACGATTCCGGCGGTGTGGATGTAGTTTACTGCGGTGAGGATCGTGCGCACGAGGGCGGCGGCGTCGCTGCGGAGGAGTGAGCAAAGGCGGTATGGCATACGATGGTAACTCACGCCTCGTAGTAGTTGCCCTTGGAACATATCCGGTCGAAGAGCTCGCCGCCGGTGCACAGGCCGAAGCACAGATACAAATTGCGCGGGGACTGGGCATTGGATGAGAAAAAGAAAAAAAAGAAGCGTTTACCAGATGCGGAAGAGACACAGAAATATCCTCGAGGCTCGCTGCGCGCTCTTTTTCCCACAAGTACGTGGACTAAATATAGTCCACGCACGGTGGTCCACGTCGGGCTCCAGCCACATCCAGATCGACGCACCTCAAAGTAGTCGTGCAGGGTCACAATATTGGGATGTCCCTTGGAAATGCGCTTCAGGACCGCGATCTCGTTCCGCACCTGTAGAGCGTCGAAAAGTTGTCAGATCATCCATCCTGTCATCCTTTCGACATTACCGCACGACGTACCAAGTACTCCCTCCCTTCCATGAGCTGCTTGTTGATGATCTTGCACGCATAGGTGCGGCCCGTATGGATGTGGGTGGCCTCTCTGACAATGGCGTACGTCCCGCTGCCGAGCATCTTCCCGGTGCGATACTGCATAGCATGCAATCATGATCAGGTCGGTGCGTCTGCACCTGGTTCCGGCGAGAACCGACGTACCTGGCAGGGCGTGATTATCGTATTCTGCATTGGCGGCGAGGGGTCGGAAGAGGTGCGCAGTACTAGTGAGAGTCAGTCGACAGGATAAAGAGAGCGGGCGTCTATTTCTAATTTTGCATGGGAAGAATTGATGATTGTCAGGCTTCTTTGTCGATGGTTTTGCTGGCGGGATTCTCCAGGCTGACGAGGATAGGGCGATTGGAGAGTCCGACCCGGGAGGTTACCACTTCGAAAGGTGTTTGATTGACCTGAGGCCAGTCATGCAAGTACAGATTGCCTAGTTTCTCTAGAGAACGAGGAATCCAGGAACTTGGCCTTTTGAGACGTCGGGGGCTGTGGCGGGCCGGCAACGGTGTCCAAATTCAACTCGCAGATAGCGCGCGATCTCTAGATCTTCAATTGTGACTGCTATGGCGGAAACTTGAAGCCGTTACGTCTCGTCCATCGGAAGGGGACCATTCCAAAAGTCATCATACTGATCGCCGAACCAGCGGGAAACGGAATGCAAGGCAGCAGAATAGCAGTTTGAGGATTTGGGAGATGGTAGGTTGTGGACAAGCAGGAAAACTATCGCTGATCTGTGACATTTCCGTCACGCCGAAACTCAGCCGAGTTGAACCAGGTTGAACCAACAAAACGTCCGCCCGGCACCAAGAATTTCTCCGGAAGATTGGGTACGATTGCGATGTTGAAGCCGAGAGAAAGTACCAACTTGAATTCGAGCTTGGTGCCCGCGGCGGCCCGCGAAGAGACAAGTGGGGAGGGGAAGATTTGGACGAAAAGGTTCAGCAAACAAGGGTGTATGTTTTCATGATCAGGGCTACGGTAGCGTCATCGCACCGCCACGAGGCAGATTCATATTAGACATTCCGTGCCCAAAGGAGATGACAACCGGTCCGAATATGTGGCACGAGGTGTAAGAAAAAGTCCTTTCAAAGCGGTAACCACCAGGGTCCTGATAATGACGGTCACCGGCCTTCAAGTTCGACGACTAGACGACGCACATTCACAACTACCACCTTTTCATGCTGAGAACTATATTAGTTTGTCAAGGGTTGACTCGAACACACTAAGTATTCATGATGTCTCCGATATCTTCGCGAGTCGGGTTTTCGAGGTCCGGGGAACGGAGATATGAGTTTAATTGATTACCTCGCGCAGCTGTCAATCACGAGTCCTATTTTTGAGGGCTTCAAAAACCGAAAACACCGCACTATACGACATCCCAGTTCCTTAGACCCTGAAACTACTATGGGATCCCCACTCACCGATGCCCACTCGTATGGCTTGTTCCTCGAGAGTATATTTTATGGGATCTTCCTCGCCACATGCGGAGTCTGCCTCAAGACGCTCTTATTCTCAGGAGATCGGCTGAAACCCGTTCGGGAGCTCAAGTGGGCTATGCTGGTCGTTGTGTTCATACTGTTCGGGGTTGCGACTGTCGATGCTGTCCTGCAGTTTTACCAAAATCTGCACACGTTTCAGATCGCTAACGGTCCAGGAGCTGCGGCTGACGACTTCTCCGATATCTCTGACCCAATTAATGTTGTGAAGGTATCTGTTTTATTGTTCAT